TAAATTCAACAGTTTACTTATCAAAATCCCCATAAATCCAGTACTTTACTATAAACATTGGCTTGGATTTATTACAAACAATCACTTCACACCTAACTTATCTACTTTATTTGCGGAAATTTCGGGAATTCCTCTCTTCATTATTCACATCTAGTTTCCGCCAGCTGTTTCGATTTTATTCTGGTGGTATTAACCAAAATAGTACATACTAAACTTTAGTTGACTAAGTGAATAGAAACCTTAAGAATAATAATATTTTTTAAAAATGTAACTATGGCAAGCTCAGTCAGTTTTCTATTTCCTCGATTGACTAACACTTACAATCACTGAACATAATATCACGCCTTTTATACCCGAAGGAGTAGGCAGAGGTGCACATTACGGCACTTAATGTCACTGTACAATGTAACACCCACTTTTCACTATTTATGTTATGAGTCCCATGGAATAGGGGTGAGCCTTCTGCCATATACCGGCCACAATTCCACCCTCTGTGCTACTATAAACATTTTTTTTTGAAAACCCAGTAATACTTTGCTCGACCCGGGAAATGAGGCAGTCACTACTACTATTACGTATACCCCTACCATTTGGCTCAAATCTATCTTTCTATGCGCTAAACCTTACTCAGATACAAATAAAAATTAGTTTTGCTCGAAAATGTAATAATATATGCACATAATGAAGAATGTGTGTGTTCACCAATTTTAGGATTATAATCTAAATCAGTACGATATGACTAGTAGGAAGTTATTCTGTAGACTGTACTAGTCAAAATTCAAAGCTCCAGCTCCGCATTCCATAAAATGACAGACTCATGCGCTGTAGACATTATCGCATCGCATTCACGTCGGCTCTCTACGTTCATTGATGAACTGATCTCAGTGTCATCAACCTTGCTGAGTCAAGTTGTAATATTATTATTGTATTATCACAATTTGTGTACTATTTAAAGGAACTAGGTCTACTAAACCTTCAAAATACTAAAGCAAAATATTTAACGTTGCGAAAATTTACGGTTTTTTATTTATTTTTTTAAATGGAAGATTTTTTTAAGGAAATAGTTTTGCTGTCGAATAAAAATATTAAAATACATAATCTTCTTATTCAAAACTCCTTTGTAAACTATATTATTGTAGACTATGTACATTGATATCGTTTGTGTGACTATCTGGTTGGCTTATAAAATTATATTGCAGGTTTTTGCTCAGATTATATTTTGCATATTATTGTAACA